GGGTCAGCTTCTTTTCGTGGATAACGGCCCTCTTCACCTACATTCCTTCAATGCTTAGTTGAACTTGATGACTGATTAGCTGTTGGCTCTGGGCCCATAACCCTGTTGGCAGTGGTGATAAAGGCAAAGCATGGTGCTTCCCTTAAATAAAGCTAAGACTAATCTAAATAAAATTCTTGCTTTATTCCGTAAATAAAATAAAAAAGCTAACACTGTAGCCTTTACATTTTAAAATTATTTTATTGAAAGCAGACTAGCATAATGCTAACTGATAATCACACAAGAGAACAAGAAACACCAGAACCATTCGCCGATACTGGCGTACATATATATATACTCGGCCAACCCGCCGATCTTGACGTCATCGGCCAATCAGCGGCAACCATGGTAGCTTACCGCCGATCGACCTCCGATCAAAATTTGCATGTGGAAAACTAAAGCCAATAGATCTGTCAGCACTATCCTTATCTTCAGGGCAGATGTTTTTATTTTATTCGGCTTATAGTTCATTACTAAATGTAGTATTTCATCTCGAAGTACTCTGATATGATTTAAATCAGATTCATTATAAATCTCACGAAGACACATAAAATAGTTTTCTGGTTGCAATTTTCTAATTTCGACTATGCGTAATGTGCGCTTTACGCATGTGCGCATTGAAAGAAATGTTTAATAAAGTAAACAAATAACTATTGAGCTTTTTTTTTGTAAATTTTGATACCCTTTAGATCATAATTGTTCTTTATTTCATAAATTACGGTTTCATATTTTTAATTTTATAATTTCTGCATGCCATCTTACCAGATTTAAACTGATGATCTATAATCTGGAAAAATCGATAATCCGGAATCGCCGAAGTCCCGTCGAGTCCGGATTAAAGACATTTGCCTGTATAAAGTAGTATTTTAAAATATGTTAAATTTCTTGAATAATGGAACACTATTCAAGAATTTTTGAAATAGTTTAGCATAAAATCTGTTGGGTGAGCATCACAAGATCACGGGAGGATGTGTCGCCAGATACTTTCAAAAAATGCTTGGCATGATTTATGCCCAGCTAGCATATTTCATGGTAATGATGTAATGATGATGAATAGCCGCAAATGTGAAGATTTTCGGATATCACAAACCAAAGGTTAAATTTTCCAATTAATGGATTTGATAAAGAAATTTGGAAAAGCGGTAATAAAAGAAGATGATATAACAGAAATGTTTTATTGTGATGACAATGGCCCAATTATTAATCAATTAGCAGATGGCAAAATCTGTAGTATGGTTCTAGATTCAGAAAATACCTCTACTGATAGTGAAGAAAGGGACTGAGAGGTTATTGAAAACGAAAAAATTTTAATTGAGAAGTCAGTCAGAATTGACACAGCAATTACAGGACTTGAACAATGGAACTTTGTAACTGAATAAGTAATTATGTCTGTCTACGGAATTAAAGATAAAAATATTAGCACAAAAAAAGCAACAAAACAACTTACATTGAAAGAAATGTTTAATGAAGTAAACAAGTATTAAGCTTTTTTTTTGTAAATTTTGATACCCTTTCAATCATAAATGCTTCATTATTTCATAAATCATGATTTCATATTTTTAATTTTATAATTTCGTCATACCAGCTTACAAGTCTTAAACTGATGATCTAATATCTGGAATCAACAAAGTCCTAACGAGTCTGGGTCTCGGACTTTGTACTGTATAGTTGTTGCATATTAGTATATTGTTGAATATTGAATAGCATGAAAACTAATGAAAGGCATTTAGTGAAAGTTCACCAGATATAAGGTATGGATTGTTTTGCAGATAAAATTTGCAAACTGTTTATATTATAAAAATCCTAATATAGAGCATGTTGATGAAACATCACATTAAAAAAAATATTTGTGCTGCCCAATCAGTATAGTGGTAAGCATCGCTGACTGCCGTGCCGAAGGGCCGAGGTTCGAATCCCTGTGAAGGCATGGATGTTTATAAATGTATAGTATCAGTGTGCCATAGTGGCATTCTAAATATACAGCAAGCCGAAAGTCCTTTTGAGAGGTTGGTGGTAGACTCTTGGACCTGCCCCATCTGGGGTACTCTCCATCAAAATTGGGGGGACTGAGCTAAATCGCACTGTCACCTGTAAGATGCTCAAGGCTCTTGCCAACAATAGGTGTCAACTTGTTGTTCTTGCCATGAGGAATTTTGTGGGCTTGGGCTGACTATAGGTCAAACAAGTGAGCATTAGCAACAACAATAATTATATTTGTGAATAGAAGTTATATGTATTTGAAAGTTGGCTAAAGTTTTTGCATAGTAGTATATTGTTAAGTATTGCATAGCATGAAAACTAATGAAATTAATTTAATAAAAGCTCAAATTTTAAGGCATGGAAATTTTTTCAGATAAAGTTTGCAAACAGTTTGTATTCTAGAATCCTATTTCAATTTTGCAGGATTGATATATATCATGCAATATTTCCAAGTAAATAAATTATATCATACTAGTGCTAGATAAAAATTGAGCATCTTAGTGTCATATTAAAGTTACACTGGTACAGTTAATGGTAATGGCAGCAAAATCAGAGACTTAGTCTTTTAAATTTCATTTATCATGTTATGAATACTGCTGATATTTACACATGGTATAAATTTATGTAGAAGTTTATTTTCGATCTCGAGAGGAAAAAATATAGTACATCCAGATCAAATAATTTGTAAGACTAATGCTAAATATATTTAATAAAATTTCAGATAAACTGGAATTAGAAAAAGGAAATTTCTGTGCAGCCAAGAAAGTTCATGAATTTGTATTACAGTAGAAGGTCGGAGGACTTCAGCAATTCCGGATTTTCGAAATTTGTGGATTTTACATCATCAGTTTAATAGTAAAATAAGACGTAGAAGCTATAAAATTCGAAACATAAAATAGTTATTTATGAAATGATGAAGCATTTATGAACTTAAGAGAATCAGTTACCCCCAGAAGCTCAATATTTGCATGTTTGTTTTATTAAAAATTTCTTTCAATGTAATTATTTAAGCTGCTTCATTAAATGTGTTAGTACTTTTTGTTTGATTTTATAGCCATACAATTTCTTATTCAATTACAAATTTCCCCTCTCAAGTCCTGTAATAGTTGTATTGAGAATTCTGACTAAACTGTCAATTGAAAATTTTCATACTCAAAAATCTCTCTTTGGCTTTTTCTTTTTCACTATTGGTTGGAATATTTTCATAATTTAAAACCATATGACAGAAATTATCCAAGTAAAATTGTATCAACATTTTCTCCTAAAATTTATCAATTTTATGTAATTTTATCCATTTGTGTAGTAGTATCAGCAGACTGATTATGGCATATATATAATTTATCAATGAGATAAATATTTTATTGCTTTTATTATGGTGTGATGTTTTCATATATTTATTTTACCTAAGATATGTTATTTGTAATTGCTGATATATGAAAAGCTGTAAACATGTTCTAATACTACAGCTAGAACTTAATTTCTAAAATTAAAAGTGCTGGAACTCTGTGGAAATGCCATCAAAAGGGGGGAATTAATAAATAAAAAGATAAAGAAGTAAATAATGAATAATTAAATAAAATATAATGGGATAAAATATAAACAAGTGTAATAATTAAAATAACGTAAAAATTAAATGAAAAAGAGTAACATAGTAATAAATTTATCTAAAACCGGAAACATTAAGTGAAGTATTTAGAGAAATGAAAGGTAAGTAACCTGTTAATAACAAAACATTATGCAAAGGATAAAATCTGGACTTTTTTCAAATGTCGGACACTTACTCTTTTCCCATTTGTCAAGAATATCCAAATAGATCAGTCGTAATCTCATCACTGAGAAGGTTGTATATTATAGGGTTGGTATTAGGAGTACCACTAGGTTCAGTCTGATATTAAACTTGCAAGAAGGCATAAGAGGACATAAATAATCATTTCTTATATGGGATTCGAAACCTCACTGTCACTCAGACTAGTAGTCAGTTTTTGCTAGCCGTTGTTCAGTACAGGATAATAATATAATATGATAAAACAAAAATATTTTTATTGAGGTAAAAATAAAATTGTATTTATATCTAAGTTTTGGAGAAAAAATAGTTTTCTTCTCATTAAGATGTAAGTCATTTTTATTTTGGCTTTTAATCCATTAAAGATATTTTGCCGAAATGAGTATTTTCCTCTCAAGATTACAATCTTTTTGTGATGTTGTTATCAAAATACAGCTGTTTTCTGTAAAATTAAAAGGTAAAGCTTTAAAAGGTAATTGCTTCACCCTTGAACTTGGATTTTCCATAGCATGTAGAACGTTTGAAATAAAGTATTTACTATAATTTTTAACTGATGATAAATTTTGCTGCATTTTCCACATATGTTTGTTTGAGAATTTTCTCACTTTTTCCCCCTCTCCTTGGTATAGTTACAAGTATTAGTTACTGGAAATATGGACTAAACCTGCTCTGACTTTTCATTTTTAGCTGTTTGATTTTTTTCATGAATTTGCAGATTTTTTTATAAACGGTAATGACCTTGCAAATTCTTCCAGCTGAAAACATTTCTAAATATGTTAATTTTTCTCCCTTGTTTTAGTATTTTACCTTTGCATGCGTTCTCTATTTCACTGAAGCTGTTTCATTTTGTCGTCATTGTATTTTTTTCTTCTCTCATCTATACTGTGTTACTTATCTATGCACTCCTTTGCAATGATTTCTTCAAAACACAAAATTTACATTCATTATGTACTCATTAGCCTTTTCATAAATTTTTATTTTCTTATAAATGGAGTAAGAATGTTATAGTCTTTTCATTTCAAAATAGTTTTTGAATTTCTAAAATTAACACAGTAGATTTAAACTAGCAGTAGTGTTGTGTATATGTTTATGGCTTGAATTTAAACCTGTGTCCTTTTCTTTTAATGGTGAAAATTACATTTGAATGTAATGTTTCATTGTAAAATTTTCAGCTTTTTTATTCTGGAATTTTTTTTAGTTAATGGCCTTAAAGCTACAAGAAAGCTTACTACATCATATGCGGAAAAAAGCAGAAAAATTTTCAGGTAGCCCTTTTTTTTTTTTTGGTGCGTGTGTGGGCTTATAATTCAGTACTTTTTTAATGCCAAGAAACTGTAAAGAAATCAAATTATTTGATACGTATTTTATTTAACTGTTTCTTGATTATATAGCGAGTATCTAGAGAATCCTTTAGCTTATAATTTCTGTTGGGTATATACTTGTATTTCCATAATGAAAGGTGCTCATGGACGTGAATCACTTGAAACTGAGGATTCAACTTTTGATCCCTTGAAACAAAGCATCCAAGATGAGATAGTTGTAAATGGTGGTTCGCATTGGAGTGCTGATATGATGAGTGAACAGAGACAGCCGTTACAAAGCACTTCATCAGATAAAATTGAACAATCATTTAGCTGGAAAGATGAGTCTCAAGATATGAAACAGCTTCATATAAGCCTTGAACATATTAAAAAGCGTGTTCAGTCAATGCAGCAAATTTCAGAGTGTAAAAATATGGTGAGTTACTTTTTATTCTGATACTTTACAAATAGTGTGCAAGCATTTCCAATTTTTGGAAGTTCACTTTTTTATTTACCGTAGTTAAAACCTGTACTTTCAGTGCATTATAAGCTCTCTTACTTGTTTTGTTATGTCTTTTTATCTCAAAGGCAATTTAACTATTTCAGATAGCATTAAAATTATTATAGGTAGAAGGTTAAAGGGATAACTTTCAGAGGTGTTTTAAAGAAACATATACGCACACTCATGAACAGTTGTGAAATTTTTCAGGATCAAGTACGAGAAGCCATTCCAAATGTTGATACAGTGGGAGAATAGTTTGTGAATTGTAATATATTAAATTTGTTTAAGTCATGATATCCTGTTAAAAAAAGTGTTGTTCACAGTTCTATTCATTCACTGACTAAAGATATGTTTTAAATAATACAGAATAATATATGGGGGGAAACTGACTAAATTTTATATAATACTTAAAATTTTAGTTTATTATACTTAAAACTAGCACCATTAGTTCAGAGAATATCAGAACTGTTCTCTATTTCCTTGCAAACATTACTAAGCATTTGTGGAGTCACATTAGTTGTTTCTGTGGTGATTCAACTTTCAATACTGTTGGCTCTTCAGGCATCCCCAGAAAACGAAGTCTAGTGTTGTGATGTCTGGAGAACAAGGTGGCTATGAAATTGGTCCACCTTTACCAATCCGAGGATCCGGAAATTTTTCATCAAGGAAATAACACACATATGTAGCCCGATGACAGGGCTTGTTTTCCAAAAATACTGATCATCATTACTGATATGGTTGAGAATGTGTACAGAAAATTTTTTATGAGTGACTTGATCATTAGGTTTGATTTGTTATCAAATCTGCAATTTTCAAATCTGCAATTTTCAAATCTGCAATTTGTACAGTCAATTTCAACTGTTAATGAACTTTACGAGCAATTGAGCTAGGAATTCTTGTTTTCAGACCAGCACGGTGAATGGATATACTGGGATTGCACACAAACACATCTCGAAATGCGGAAACATTTTTATCACTGATGCTTGGCCTACCTGGATCTCCTTTATGCTAAACATGTCCATGTCTCAAAACTGTTTTAACTATTTTTTAATTGATTGTTCTGTTGGTGGAGGGTTCATGTCCGAATCATCTCTGAACTTCTTTCAGAAATGTTGTTCCCATAACTGGAGAAGGCATATTACTTTTTCAGTCCACAATGCCATTTTGTCTGTGATTAAACAAGTTCCCTATTGCGATTTGCAAAAATTAGAAAAAATGAAATTCCTTGGACTGAGCATTGTATCAAAATAAATTATTTCCGGTTATTCGTAAAATTACATTTAATTTTCATTTTGCTATTCACTGATTAAATTAGGGATATACTGTGTATTTAATACATTGTACTCACAGTCTCACTAGTAACTAGAGATGGGCAGAATCACTCTTTCATGGAATCAGATCAGAACTGTTTGCTCACTGAACTGAATCTTAATTTTAAAATGACTAGCTGTAACAAAGATTGTGAATGGAAAACAAACCAAGCAGTTAGCAATAGTGGCGCGAACAGCAAAAAGAACCAAACAAGCAGTGGGATCAGAAGAACTGATTAGTGAGGTTTCGTAGAAACTCCTATATGGTTACAACAACAAAATTCTGAAATAAAAAATTTTCAAAAAGTTGGGAAATGAGAATGGGAGAATAAACATTCATGCTTCCCTAAAAGGGGAATTAAATTTTTGTTATTTTTCCAGCGAGGGTACTTGATGGGTGAACTCTAAAAAAGCAACTGCTGTTTTTTGACAAATCAGGCATTCACTCATCCCAGTAAAGTTCATACAGTACAAACAACGTCGTTTCGTCAGGACTTCGGCAGTTATGGATTTGTGATTTTTCCAGATATTGGATCATCAGTTTAAAGTCAATAAGATAGCATGTAAAAATTATAAAATTAAAAATATGAAATCATGATTTATGAAATAATGAAGTATTTATGATCTAAAGGGTATCAAAATTTACAAGAAAAAAAAGCTTGATATTTATTTGTTTATCTTATTAAGCATTTCCTTCAGTGTAAGTTGTTCAAGTTGCCTCGTTTTTTGCACTAATGCAGCACAAAGTCCATAATCCGGACTCGTCGGGACTTTGGCGATTCTGGACTAGGGTTTCCGGATTATATATCATCATTTTAAATATGGTAAGATGGCATGCAGAAATTATACAATAAAAAATATGAAACTGCAATTTATGAAATAAAGAGCAATTATGATTTAAAGGGAATCAAAATTTACAAAAAAAAAAAAAGCTTAATATTTATTTGTGTTTACTTTATTAAACATTTCTTTCAATGTAACTTGTTTAAGTTGCTTCGTTTTTTGTGCTAATACTTGTTCTTTAATTCTGTAAACAGACATAATTTCTTGTTCGCTGTATAACTCCTGTAATTGCTGTGTCAAGAATACCGACTAACTTGTCAATCGAAATGTTTTCATTTTCAATAACCTTTCTGTCACTTTCTTCACTATTGGAAGCGGCATTTTCTGGGTCTAGAACCATACTACAGATTTTGCCGTCCGTTGATTGATGATTGGGGCATTGTTGTCATATTTTATACAATTTAAACTTTTAAAAATTAAAAAATATGAAAACATGAATGATTTCCTCATTTAAAGCATTTCTGTGAGTGGAAGTGCATGTCTATAACCAATGGTTGCAAAAGTAAGAGGTTGGGTAAGGATTCTGTAGGTGCAGTGTAAACATATGTATTTATCATATATATTTTGGTAGATTCTTTGCATTATGCTAATATTGTATTTGAATTTTGCGAGTGTATTGCTGTTTGGAGCACAAACTTAGAGTGTTTGTTAATTTTCATTAATATGGCATGCACAGGTGCAGGAATTTTTGCTTAATTCCCAGAGTTGAGCATGTGATTTGAAGTCTACATTCATAGCTGTTTGACTTAATGCAAGTTCTTATTCATTATCATGCTTGACTACATGTACACTGCACAAAAAAAAAAAAAAAAAAAAAAAAAAAAAAAGACAGTTCTATATCTCCCGTTCTTACTGTGCCAATTGACAAAATTCAAATTGCGTTATTCATGTCTTGAAAGTGCGGCTTAGGATATGTATTAGATTTATATATAGCATTGTTCTAACATACGAATATTGACACAAAATCGGAGTTTTTCTGAAATAACATACCAATTTTTTTTCTATATTTTGATTCTACCACTCAAATTATGCCTAGATATTAAATTTTGTAAAATTTGGTGCAAAATTTATGGAGAAATTCAAAAATTTATGCAGGTATGCTTATAAATACATCTACTTTAAGATGATGGTAAAAATTTTATAGATTATAATTCAAAAAGTTTTTTGAAAAATTTATAAAAATTATTTAAAAATACAAATTTTAAAAATAAATCGTAAAAAAAATGGGTGAATTTTATTTGGAATGAACCTAAATGTCGAAATGTGAAAGGAAGAATCAAATAAGTTTAATAAAACAAGAGAGATTAATAAATATATATGAAACACAATTAACATTGAGGAGCTAAAATTTTGAAAGCTAATTTTTCAAAAGCTACTCGTATGGTTTTTAGAAAACTTTGTAGTTTGCCGTAATTTGAGTCTTAGAATCAAAATATGAAAGAAAATTGGTATGTTATTTCAGAAAAAGTCCGATTTTGTGTCAAAATACCTGTATTAAAACAATGCTATTTATAAATCTAATATATATTATAAGTCACCTTTTCGAGACATAAGAAATGCAAGTTGAATTTTGTCAATCGGCCCAGTAGAACAGGAGATATAGAATTATCCCTTTTTTTTTTTTTTTTTTTAAATCAAATAAGTTTAATAAAACAAGAGAGATTAATAAATATATATGAAACTCAATTAACATTGAGGAGCTAAAATTTTGAAAGCTAATTTTTCAAAAGCTACTCGTATGGTTTTTAGAAAACTTTGTAGTTTGCCGTAATTTGAGTCGTAGAATCAAAATATGAAAGAAAATTGGTATGTTATTTCAGAAAAAGTCCGATTTTGTGTCAAAATACCTGTATTAAACAACAATGCTATTTATAAATCTAATATATATTATAAGTCACCTTTTCGAGACATAAGAAATGCAGTTGAATTTTGTCAATCGGCCCAGTAGAACAGGAGATATAGAATTTTTTTTTTTTTTTTTTTTTTTTAAGTACCCCCCCCCCCCCCCCCCCCCCCAAAACCCCCCCCCCCCCCCCCCCGTATTTGACGGCCCCCCCCCCCCCCCCCCCCCCCCCCCCCCCCCCCCCTCCCCCCCCCCATATAAAACGCACCCTTATTTAGACGGCCACGGCACACAAGAAAAAAAAGTTTCAATAGCGTGGTTTCTTTTAGTTCTCACGTTTCGTAAAAGCCAAATAAACAATTATTGAATGCAATTACCTTCACGTATAAGACTGTGTCCTTCACACATAAGATGCAGATAACTTATTTGAGACCAAATTTAGGGAAAAAAGTGCGCTTTATATGCCGTCAAATATGGTACATACGCAGTGTACATTCATTGAATATGCAATAAACCTCAAAGTATTCTGTGGAAAAAAATAAGTAATACTAAAAAAAAAAAAAAAAAAAAAAAAAAAAAAAAAAAAAAAGTAATAACATGTCTTTTCCCTTATATTAATACAGTTAAAATGTGAAGTATTGCTTCTATTTGATCAAATTCAGCTAAGCTGTGAAAATGTACATTGCATCCAGAATTCATTGTTAAAAAAGAAACAAAATGTAAAGACTGTATTTAAAAAATGAGACTTTAGTAGTTTGTAATCATCTGATTTTTCTTTCTTCCATTTATATTTTTTGTTAAGACTAACTATAGCAGGGGAGGAAACTCTTCTTTTTCTATTACTGTAATGAATGCATACATCTTTAACTTGCGTAATAATTTTTTACTGTACTATACTTGTTCCATTGTGTATCAAAGTCTGATGTTTCACCATGAATGTACAGATCAAAACCATTTTAGAGCTAGCAGCAAATAGTGAATTCATCGACATGTTTTTGAATTGGTTATTATAAGTTTGGGTGTTAAAAAGTATTAAGAGAGTGCAGATTTGTATTATACAGTGCCGTGTTGAGCATAATTTTAACTGAATGGGATCTTTTTCTTTTGTTTCACTTTCTTGAGACTTTTTTTTGCATAACTTGATTAGGAAAAATCCAGCTTTTAATCCAAACAAGGAGCTTTTCCCTAAGCTCATGAAATAGTACCCATCTTCACAATAGGTTTTATTGTCAGGAAATGAAGTAAATATGTAATCTTCATTTTCTGTTACCTCAATGTTGTTGTGAGGTTAGTTACGGTAGGAAATCCTACCATGCATTAAAAAAAAAAAAAAAAAAAAAAAAAAAAAAAAAAAAAAAATTATAATTCATGCAGTAGTATTCATGTTCACAACAGGATTTTTGTGCGTGTGTGTGGTTAGAGAATAATGGAAATGACTAATCACATTTTGTCCACTGATGCATTTTTTTCCCCTGTTACTTCAGTGGCTTGTGAATGTACTGTGAACTTTCTTAAGTTCCATCAAGTAAAATGTACACAATAGATATGACACCAAACTGCGAGAATAACTCTTCTGTTCAGATATCAAGTAGCAACATTATATTTATTGTATTCTTTTGTTACTTTATTTGCTTTGTATAGCAGGATAGTAGTTTTACGCTTGTATGTTGCTGGAGAACCTCTTCTCGTTGTTTATTTAATAAATATTTGATAGCATTTTAGTTCCTGGGCTGTGGTCTGACAGAGTTCAACAATAAATTTCACAGAGCTGGAACATTGATATATTTTTACATATATTTTTTGTAATTTTTTTATGTATTTTATCATTTAATGTATAATAAAAGAAAAGTATAATTTTTCAGAGCTTGAAGCACTTAGTGCTTGTTTCTGAGCAAACATAATTAACAATTTTATTTCCTAAAACTGTTTTAATGCTTTACTTACTTAAATGTATGTAAATTTTCTGAACTGTAAACATTAATTTTAAATAAAGACAAAACAAAATATCTTTATATAATTAAATTTTCTTTCTTATATGTAGACTGACTCTGTAAGCTCTGATGACTGTGATGATGTTACTGATGTAGGACAGAGAGTCGCTGCTGTTGAACTAGAACGTAAGAAGCTAAAGAATAAATTAATTGAGCTACAGGAAAAAAAGAAAATGAATGATGAACTTTTGAAAGAATTATGCTACTTGAAAGATACTGGTAATTAAAATATTTTTCTTTCTGTTTAGAAAGTGTTGTCTGTTTTATTCATTTTAAATTTTGTATCATTTAGTGCTTACAATCATATTATACTTTTCATTTTCCTATGGAACAGAAACTGTAAACTCAGATTTGTCAAATTTCTTATTTATTCAAAGTACACTTATATCTAGTCTAATTTTTTATTAATCTTCTGTTTTTAATTATGGTTTTTTTATTTATTGTTTAAACTTGCTGCAAATTTAAAAAGGAATAATTTGAAGATTATAGAAGAAAATAATAAAATGTATTTTTTTTAATGCATAATATGAGAGTTATTTAAAGATGCTTTGCTGCAACAGCTGTACCCATACCTTAACCCATTAACCGCTAAAACTACAAGGAATGATTCTTTTCTCATTAAAATAACAACAAATATTAAATTAAGCATTTATAACATAAATTTACATTGGAAATAAAAAAAAAATGCTCTTACCTGTGGAAAAAGCGAGTGTTGCGTTCGCGTAACGTCAGCAGAATAAGACTACAGATATTGAGCGAGTAGGATTGTACTCGTGCGATGTTTCCTTTGAGTGGAGCATTGGCTTACTTTTTAGCTGTATAGCATTTTATAAATCTATAAATCACTTTACTTTTAATTAATTTAATGTTAAAATATACATTATATTTCTTTTACAAAGACAGATTATTTCAATTGAAAGATTCAAGCATGAAAAGCTTGATTACAATCATGATGTAAAGCTACATTACATGCTTTGCATCTATTTTAACAGTCTGGCTGTGGCACTCTTTACAACGAAGTCTTTTGTTATCATCAGACTTTACGATATAATGTCTACCATCTCCATGCAATGGTTTTTGAATGCTGAATTTACTAGGTCTTCCTGTTGCTGATCTATTTCTGGCTAATTCTACACTCTCAATAGGAGTTTGCAAAAGGAATAATGCAATCTCGCATCTGAAATCTAAAAGACACTTTTTATTTCCAGTAGTAGAAAGTCATGATATTTAGTAAGTTTAGATACGGTCTCACCTTTTTTAATTTATCAGTATTGACAATTTGACTATTGTCAGCTAAATGCAAATTCTGCTTCATATTCCTGTACTACAAACGTGATGTCGATTCTCATACAATAGGAACAGAAATGTCCTTATCAAGTGACCAATGCATTTCTTCTTGAGGTAAAGAATAATATCCCGTATATATAATATTCCAATAAATCTTCCCATATAGGCTTCAGATGCAATAAATTCTGGGAGATTTTTTTGCTGAGCATATAAATTTGTCTGTTCAACGAGAAGAGTGTAAATGTCTATAAAAAAAAGAAAATCGAACATCTCTCCAGTAGTTTTACCTTGTATTTTGTCTTTTGTAGTTTCTCTTCTATCTCTTTCTTTATTTTCTTCCAGAGACATAACTGAGGGTTCCTTTCCCATCCATTTCAAGTTTTTAGTTTTCTGCTTTTTAAACTTTTTCTTATGACCACCACTGCTTTTAGAAGGCTGAAACTTACTTCTTACGTGAATTTCAACATCCCAGCAATACCATTTGGTAAAATATCATTTTCATTATTTAAAAAATTGTCATTCCCTTCTTCTTCATCAGTAGCTTCTGAAATTTCTGTGGGAACAACAACTATATCAGTTTCATTCTGGTCATTATTAACATTATCATTATCTGTTTCTTCATCAAAATAATTTTTGAAATGCTTCTTCTAATGTAAGATACCTCGTTATAGGCATTTTTAAAGCAGCCAGAATATGAACCAGAACACCGAAAGGAAAGAGTAAAAAAGGAGCTTACCTGTTTCCTGCTGACGTTGCGTCAGCAGAACATCTGTTTTCCCTTCCTTCCCAACACAAATATAAACATCTGATTGATGTAATATTCTGATAAACAGTGACCTTGACTAAAAATAGATCAGTCATAAAGACGGCGATTCTTTCATTAAATATTTTCGGCAAAAATACCCAGTCGAAAATTTTGCTTAAATTTTAGTTAAAGTATGAGATTAATTATTGTAAACAAATTGATTGTTGAAGGCAAATATTTTTTTACAGAAATAATCTTCATAATATTTCCTACAAAAAATCATCTGCAAGTACAAAATATCTTAGGTAGTTATATTTATATATGCATCTATTTTGACCGTTGCATCAATGCAACACCAGCGGCTAATGGGTTAATGCTACCTTGAATGGTATGATCATTAGTGAAACTTCACTACCACACTGTTAGGATTGGATTTGGGTCATGGAAAATGCATAGAGGTATTTTACTATTGCAAAATAAATATATTTGAAATTTGTTAATCTGTCCTCTCAAAAGATTGTGGTATGATAACAAAATATGAGGTGCTGTTTGTCTTCTATAGTTTAGTCCCCTACTCAGTCCGGCTATAATTCATATTGTTAATTAATTGGCAAGTGTTACAGGATTTTACATATCCCATTGGAAATCTTTTAGCTGTGGGAAATAAACTGCTTGCCTTACTGTCTACACTGTTTTTCTTATTCAAGGATGGCCTGACATGGCACATTGTGCAGTTGATGTAAAATACTTAAACTGACTTGGATAACCTGTCTTAATTCATTTTTCTTAAATGTTCCTTTCAGATAAAACAGTTTATCAATGATTTTATAGTTAAGGTGCTATTCCTAATTCCAATTGTGTTATTTTCAAAGAGGTAGGGATTTTTCAGATAAGCATAGATATTTTAAAATACTGAATCTACTTGAAGTTCTGTAATAGTTCTTGTAAATCTAAAGAGGCTATCACTTTTAGGGACGCGGATTCTAACAAGAATTATAGTAGCACTGCTTTAAGTGGGAGGCTTCCAAGAAATGTTTCGTCTAGCTAAGAGGAACATGTCCCGGCTATGAGCAACATTTTGAAACATTTTGAAACCAAAAATATTCCATGACACGTTTCTCGTATGTTCAACCAATCAGACGAAAGTTCTGCTTCTGAATGATCACGGGTAACTTTCAAAATGGCGATGGCTCTCACTGTGAAGTCATGGACGGTGGAAATAGAGCCCAATTTAATTATTGCTATTTTGTTGTAATATAACTGCCTGAGTCATTAAAAAAATGTTTATGTATTCATTAAATGTATAATTGTGGAAATTTCAGAGTTGACAATATTTTATGACGTTCTTGCAGTTCGGATTTGTTTACAAATTGTTTGTCGCCAAATTTATCATATTTTGTGCCGATCGTGTATTATCACTGTTATGTAATAGAATTTTATTTCTTAAATTTAAGTTGAATAATTTTTTTTAATCCGTTTGTATATGTGCGGCTTTTCTATTAATTACTTATCTTTGAAATTGTTAATTGCATAATCAGTGACACATTTTAAGCAGCATAAAAGATGCATAAAAAAAGAAAAGCATAGTTTATGTAATAATGAGAATACTCATTAAATTTGTCTATTATTTTCATGTTATTAATAAAATACTTTTTGGATTATAAATACATTAGAAACTATACTTTTATTGTAAATGCTACATATTGAAACATTGGAAATGTATGGATTTATTATTATGAATGATGGAAAAACATTTGTACACACATTTATTAATATAAATCTTACTCATTATATTAATACTAATAAATATATATCAATAACTTCTAAGCCATCCCATCTCTCTATCAGTATGTAAATATATGACTTATTAGATGTGTGGAATATTATAGAATATTAGAATATATGTATGTATGAATACAAAAATCATCTTGGATCCTGTGGAATCAAGCAACTTATACTTTCTAAAACTTTTTTTAAGAATGTTTTTGTGTTCAGTTGTGGTTGCTTCATAATGAAGCAAAGACATATTTTTAAAATTATAAATTTTATTAAACATAACATACTGACACTTCGACAAAAAAAAAAAAAAAAAAAAAAAACTGAACTGCTACATCATTTTGCCACACTGCGAATAAAGATTTCAGTTTATATTTGTATAATTTTTATATGAACTGCTACTATATGACAATTACTTCTATTATTCAAACTGATACTCAGCTGCAGTTGTAATAATTATTTTAAAACTGAAAGTTCATGTGTGGTTTCCATAGCAAAATAGCATTTCATCTTATTTGGTTGTTTCATTTCCATAGCAATATCTTTTCATTGCTATACTACAAAGTAACCCCCAATAAGGGAGACCAAATGATACAAAGGAAAAAAATATAATTGAAATTATACAAGTTATATGTAGTAGGTTGTAGGGAAATTTTGAGGGAATTTGACATGTTGTCCCGATTTTGTGATAGTTTTGGGAATAGTTGACATGGCTTCAGTGTGTCCGTCTTACTAGTAGGTTTAGTGTAATGGACTAAAGTTTTATCACTAGTAAAAAATGGAGGTTTGAGTCTATCAAAGAAACAGTTTGATTCTTATCGTGCACGGAGATGATAAAAGTTTTCTCATGTTGCTCAATGATAAGATGACATGAGTATGGTTGTTAAAGAAGAGGCTTGACTGAGTCAGTTCTCAAATAAACATGATTTTAAGGATGGATGAATGTGGACAGGTGCTGAACTGTGTTTTTATGTTGCAATGGAAATCAGAGATTGCATTATAGATCATAAACGATTGACATATGGTGTTGGGGATGGCAGAGAAAGCTGATCTGAGAACGAGATATCCGAAGGCAGCCTTAAGGTAGTACTGCAAATTGACTCGGGACAAGTTGCTTGGATGTTGTCTTTGACAGAAGATCAAATACTTAAAAGTATAAGAGATAATGATTCTGTCTAGCAAGGGTTTTCTTGTGCTTTTCTGCTGATTTTCAGCTGCCGATGGAGCCATTCAGTGATGCCATTTGTTTGAGGTCTATATGCACTCCCACGAATATGACACCCTTTCAGCAGGTGCGTGAACTCCCTGAAAGGATGCGATTCAAAGTTTCGACCCTGGTCGGTAGTGATAGTAGAAGGGCATCCATCTACTAATTAGAGCTTTACAAATTGTTTCAGGCAACATATTATAT